TGGGATCTTCTAGCTTTTCCCTTTAGTTTTCTTAGGCCCTTAGTTTCTCTAAACCCTCATTAATTAGCTTAGATCTTCTCAAATTCAATCATTGTAATAGATTAATTGAAGATTGTTCTCTTGAATTCAACAATTTCTCAACTTTGAAACATTTTAAGTAATCTCTTTTCCTCTATCCCTTACTCTTTAATTTCAGTTTTATTTACTTTGAATTGTTAATTTCTCTCTTGATCTTGTTTAATTGTTGTTGCATGTCCAATCTACCTTATTCCTACTATTTCTCTCAACTTGTTAATTTAATGCTAGAATTAGAATTTGTTGTTATGATGTTCTTCACCATGTTTACTGAGTAGTTAATTAGCTAGGGGTTGGGTGAAGACCCAACCAAGCCATGGTTTGATTGATGTTTAATTTGTGCTTGCATGTTCATTTTGGGTTGATGATTGATTGTTAACGAATTGGTTAATTGCATGTGTAATTGGATGGCCACCTATTGCTCATGTATCCACTCTTATGCTTGCATTGAGAGATGGAGTCTAGTTGTGTATGCCTTTTCTTATATGATTATGCTAGATTCCTCTTGATTATGGTTCCTTGTTTGAATGATGTAGTAGTCTTAGTTGCGACAATTAGATGCAAAATCCCAATTGTTTGTGCCTTAATGCTTTCTTGGACTGATCAAAAGACAAACCCGAGTTAGTAGTCTACTTCCCGTTGTTAAGACTTAGTTGGCCTATCTTGTTAGTTGAGTTTGGTTTAGGAATGCTTAGTGTTGTGGCTTTGATAGAAGACAATTTTGAGTGCCCTCTCTATCACCCAATTTGTGTTCATGTTTGCCTATTGATTTGATCCGTTGGTTTGGTTGGTGTCGATTCCCATTTCCCCCTAGTGTCTAATCAAAACCCCCAATTTGTGACCGAACTAGATTGCAACCGTTTCATACTTTTGGTGTCCTTACCCATTCCCTGTGGATATGATCCTCTACTTACCCTAGACTTGTCTTAGGTTGGTTTAGGTAGAAATATTGTTTGGTTTTAGGGTGATTGTCTAACGACCGATTATCTCTCTACAATTATGGCGCCGTTGCCAAGGAATGGCGTTAAGCATTGAGTTACTTATTAGATATGTGAGACTAGTTCATTTGTATACCTTTATTTTTCTTTGTTTTCTTTAACTAACCTACTAATCTCCCATCTAGTTTTCTTTGTTTATGCCCAAACGCAGCAATAGGACACTTCCTCTTGTGCCGTTGAACCTTGAGCTTGATAAAGTTATAAGGGCAAATCGAAGAGAAAAGAAGGCGATAGCTAGTGGTGCTACATCAAGTGAGCCACAAGTGGTAGTTGATTCCAATCACTCTAGTTCTAGTGAGTCTAGTGGAGACACCATTCCATTGGAGTCACCAAGGACAAATTCTCCAACTTCTCCACCTCTTCACCAATTTGAAATGGCTCTTCCGAACAAAATCTTGAGAGAGTTTGGTTTTCCTCCACCATATCAAGAAGCAAGTGGGATTGCTACTCCCGCTATCGAAGCAAACAACTTTGAGATAAGGCCCGCCCTTATCACCTTGATTGAGGGTCATCAATTCTCCGGGGCAAAGCATGAGGATCCCATTGCGCATCTAAAGCAATTCACATGGTATTGTAGCACCGTGAAGGCAAATGGGGTGACTTCAGAGTACATTTTGTTAAGCATATTCAAATTCTCTTTAACGGGCAAGGCACGTGATTGGCTTGATAGGTTGCCTCCGAACTCATTGAACACATGGAATGAAGTGACTTCGGCATTCCTTGGGAGGTTCATTCCTCTTGGGAAAACGGCGGAGTTGAGGTCAAAGATATCAAACTTCTAACAAGACCCCGACGAGTCTCTCTATGATGCTTGGGACAGATTCAAGAGCCACCAACAACAATGCCCCCACCATGGCATGGAGAATTAGCTCTTTCTCCATGAGTTTTATAGAGGTCTTTTGAGAGCGGACCAAATATTGTTGGATGGAGCATCGGGTGGACCTATCATGAACAAGCCACCCACGGAGGCACTAAGGATCATAGAGGATGTAGTTCAAAACTACACCGATTGGAGCCCTGATGAGAGAAGCACTTCCAAGAAAGGAGGGAAGTATGAGGTAAATGCTATCAACATGATTAATTCAAAATTAGATGCTTTATCTTCTAAGTTTGATCAATTGCAATCCTCTTCTCTATCTCCTTCCCCACGCCAAAATTTACATGCATCTAGTTCATTAAATGTTAACATGTTAATACAAATGTCTTGTGATGCTCTTGGAAGTGATGATCATGTGACTTCGGAATGCTATTTGCTAAATGATTCATGCTCCCCCTCCCCTTCCATGGAACAAGTAAATGCGATGAACAATGGTCAAACCAATCCTAGGTATGACCCCTATTCCAACACCTATAATGAGGGATGGAAACATCACCCAAACTTTGGTTGGAAAGGGCGCCAAACCCAAGGAAATAGTCAAGGTCAATATAGTGACCAAAGGAATGTTCAAAACAATCAAGGAAACTATAGGAACCAAGGTAATGGTAACTATGTGTCAAACAACCAAGTAAATCAACAAAATGACAATAGCACAAGTAGAAAAAACGTCATTTGTAACCCCCTATTTGTAACCAACAATACATTTTTAGTTACAATTAGTGTATTTGTAACTAACATTTAAAAAATCCGTTACAAATAATCAGTAATAACTTGTAAGACTCAGGTAATCGTAACTGACTAAGATTTGTTAGTTACAAGTAGGGGTGTTCAAATTCGGGTACCCGAAAATGCGGGTACCCGCATTGTCGGGTACTTGCAAAACCGACCCATGTCCCGACCCGGAAATTTCGGGTACCCGGATTTTTCGGGTCGGGTCATAGGGTACCCGGATCTTTAGTTTTTTTTTTTAAAAAAAAAATAGTGAAATTTGTTACAAGCTGTCAATTTGAAACAAACATCAAGGCATAATCTAATTAATTAATTCAATAGAAACAACAAAAACACAACAAGATTTATACAATACCAACTATTTCGTTATACAAACTCCTTGTAAAAAAAAAACAAAATCATCCAAAAGGTGAATCGGTCAAACATCTAAAACACGATAATAAACAAGAATATATGATTTTGAATGTGAATTTGTCAAATACAAATAAAATTCAAAAATACAACAAGGGCTAAAAAAATTACAATCAATTAAGTAATCAAAAACAAAGTAATTAACCTTAAATTAATTAATAAGAAAAGGAAAAATTCATGGGAATAATCCGACCTTTAGGCCATTCTTTTTTAATAATCCCACCTTTCGATTATTATTTAATAATCCGACCTTTGGGTGCCTTTAATTTTTATTGGTCCCAACCGGTCATGTAACCTGTTATAACAGGTTACATGACACGTGGCGACCTGTGATTGGTCAAAAAAACATTAAAAAAAAATGTTCAAAAAAAAGTAAGATTTTTTAAAAGAAAAGATTAAAAAAAAAACAAAAAAAATCAGAAAACCCATCCCAGCCCCCACCACTTCCCTGACCACCCAGCCCTACCGCCCACCGGAATCCCAAACCCAGCCACCCTCATCCCCACCCCGATGGAATTCAACGCCTCAGTCAAGGTCCTCATCATCGCCGGCAACAGGTCCTGAAACCTATCCCTATCGCCGGAAGTCTCGAGACACTGGATGAAATTAATAACAGCATTTAAAGCGGCGATTCGAATATCAGAGCTAGGAGAATGGGAGAGAGTGTTCAAGAAGGCGGCGTGAAGGTCCTTAATGAAAGGCACCAAAGAATCGCCGATAAACTGAGAGAGCTGCGCGAAAATTAAGGAAGCGGACTCCTGCAAATAGGGAGAATCGGAGGAAACGCACTGGAACATAAAAGGGAGAAGCTCAGGCCAAGCATTGTCGGGAAGAATACCGGAAGCGAGCTCGGAAATGGTGTCGCAAAGCTTCTTGGAGATGGTTTTGGCGTCATCGCGTTGGAGGGAGGCGAGGAGGATAGACTTGATGGAGGACTGAGAAGAGGGAGAAAGAGGGTGAGGAAGAGTGATTTAAGGGGGTTGCGAGCTTTGCGGCAGTTGGGGTGGCTATAAGGGCCAATTATGGGGGCGGAGGAGGGAGGAGGTGGTCTTCAGTTGGTCTAGGGAGGAGGGGATGGCGCTGGGGAAGGAGGACTGATTTCCGATGGCCAGCTCTGGAAGAAGGATGGTTGTGGTTATGGTGGTTCTAGAGTTTGGGTTTGGGTGGTGGTGGGGATGGTGGTGGGCTGGTGGCTGAATTGGGTTTTGGGTTTGGGTTTTGTAATTTCTTTTTTTTTGACCAATTATGTAATGACACGTGTATTTTAAACCAAAAAAAAAAAATTTACCCAAAGGTCGGATAATTAAATAATAATCGAAAGGTGGGATTATTAAAAAAGAATGGCCTAAAGGTCGGATTATTCCCATGAATTTTTCCATAAGAAAATCATACAAAGATGAGTTGTTTATCATCGTCATCTTCATCAACAACTTCATCATCAACACCAAATTCATCTTTGTTCGCCGCGGCGCCGGAGAGCTCAAATAAAACAAAATTGGTAATTGAAAAGAGAAAAACCCATAAATTACTAATTAATTTGATAGAATGAAATCCTTAGTTAAGGAATTAAATGTGAGAAGAAGAGTGAGAAGGAAAGATAAGCTAGAGAAGAAGGAAGAAGGAGAGAGCACTCATAAAAGAGTGAAGGAGGAGAGAGAAAGTTGAGTGAGGAGGAAAGTGACGGCTACAAGAGAATGAAAAGAGGAAAGAAAAAAAAAACCTAAGGGTATTTTTTTAAACGGGTATTAGCGGGTACCCGTGACCCCAACAAGCTGGCCCATGTCCCGGCCCACGAACTTGGAATTTTAACGGGTCGGATCAATCGGGTCGGGTTTTTTTGAACACCTCTAGTTACAAGTAATTGTTATTGTAACTTACAATTTAATTGACTGTTATAAATACTAATTTTATTTTATTTTTTCCAACGAGGTAATAGAAAAAACTAAGCTAGTCTAGAACAGTAAAACCCTTGACCTCCTATTACCCCAAACCTTAGTCTAAAAATTCCCCCAAAATCAGAAAAAACTCCCACGAAAATTTCCCCCAAAAACCCAGAAAATTTCCCCACGAAAATTCCCCAGAAAACCCACGAAAATTCCCCCAAAACAAAGATCCGATCTGCGCGGCCGAGATGGATTGAAGCCGCCGGAGTTTCGCCACCTTGAAGAACGCTGGAGTTCCGCCGGAGGTCAAGCAATTACCAGAGTTCAAGTAAGTTCTTTCTCACCGGCGCTCTTCACCGTTGTTTCACCGTCAGACCGAGAATTTTTTGTTTTTTTTTTACATGCAAATTGGGCTCTTTCACTTCTTTGGCTGTTGTACTCTAGAAATCCTAAGGCTATGGTTATTTTTTTTTGCCAAGAATAAGCTTGAAATTCGACAGGCCTTCAAGGGCAATGATATCTCTGAGTTTAAGTGCATTTTTCGCTGCCATTGTATCAAAATTTGCCATTTTCGATCGGTTTATAGATAACTTAGTAAAGTCTAGAATTCGAAAGGAGCTGTACATCTAATATACAAGTAACATTTATCATTCTGCCCATGTATAAAGACCAATAGAATGATAAATTTCCCATCTCATTAGCAATGAGCTAGTATGAGTTTTAGCAAATCTGCACATTTGCCTAGCATATTAAGCAGAGAAATGCTGATAAAAATAATTGCTTCGTATCTTTTAGTGTTAGTTTGGTTACCAGGTTTGTCCAACTTATAAAGACTATTTGGCATCCATAATTCCTGATATGATGATGAGAGTTTGGGGATAAATGCTATAAATCAAATGTTCAGTGCTGCTACTATTTCTGTATTTTGTTGATAGAAATCAAATGTTCTGCTGTTTCTGTATTTTGTTTATAGAAATCAAATGATTGCTGCTACTGCTACTGTGCTGCTAGAAATAAAATGTTCTCTGTCTCAATATTTTGTTGATAGTTTCTGTTTATATTGTATTTCTCTAGTGTATTTGAATTATATTTTGGGAGTCTCAATTATTTTTTGGGTTAAGATCTTTGAGGTAAGGCTGTGTAATTTAAGTTATTTTAGTTTTATAGGTTTAATCTCTTGATTTTTGGGTTGTGTAATGTTTGAATGCTTTGATTAGCTTGGTTTTAAGTGTTAAATGTGTTACCTCACTGTGAGGTGGATGTGATCGATCTTGGGTTTATGACTTTTCAAATATAATGTCCATCTGCCTTAATTAGTGAGTGTTAAATCATAGTGTATACTTTGTCGTTCAAATTCTAGTTATGAATCACGTCATAACTGGGTAGATACTTTGCTTTTTTTGGTGTTGAATGTAACATGTAATTACATTTTAGAAATAAATCGTGAATGGATGTATGATGCAATCCGAACTTCACCTGCATACTTGGAAGGAGTTAAGGGGTTTTGTAATATTGCTATGCAACATCAGTGGAGTGGTGGAGTGTTGTTGTTGAACAAAGACTTACTAGGGCAAGACCTATTTTCTTCCCTTGCAAGAACGTGAAGAGGTGGGATGACATTAAGAAAATAGAGGAACATTTGATTATTCATGGGTTCATGTCCTCAAAGGATTTCGGTAGCTGAAATCGAACATAATTATCTCCAAGTTCATGGGTATGTTAAAAAGGCGTTTATGTCCGAACTTGATGCACCATATCTTGAAAGGTATGTCCTACGACACATGCTTAATTATTTACTATATATGTTACTGAATTACAAGTTAATTAAAGTCTTATGGAATGTGATTTTTTGTATAGTAATCATTGGGTGCTTTTGGTAATAAACTTACCATTGGGCCTTGTGTTCGAGTTTGATCCTGCCACTTGTCCTGAAAAGACCCCAAGAAAATTGAGATTGGCTGATATACTAATGAAGTAAGTGAAGAAAGAACATTATTTTCATATAATAAATTCAAAGGTTATGAAATATACTCCTATCTTTTTATTTATATATTTTTTTTTTTATTTACAAGGCATACAAGGTGTATTTGACTAGATTGGAGGGTAATGTTTTGAAAAGTAGAAGGAAAAATTTGCTATTTAAGCAAATGGAGGTACATAAGTGATATCCTTTAAGTTATGCAAGTTTATGTATGCATGCATTAGTATTTTAATGGGTATGTAATTGTGGGCTATGATGTTTTATTTATAGTGTGCTCAACAAAAAGGAGGTACTGAGCGTGGAGGTACTGAGCGTGGATATTATGTCATGAGATACATGTATGAGGTTGTTGTTGGTCACAGTGAGTGCGAGGGTAATTTAGAGGAGGTAAGTGACGTTTCATTGTTTCTTTGAAATAATTGACACTACCCTATTGAATGTATTTGAATTTGTAATATTTGATTTTATTTTCCCAGGTATATTCTGCAAGGAGAATGGCTTGTGATGAAAAGGAATTGAATGAAACTCGAGAACAGTGGGCAAATTTCTTTAGAAGAAAATATTTGTTGAATGAACCAATTTAGTTATATTTTCATCAAATGCATAACTAATTTGATTGCATATGTAGTTATGGTGAGATTGTTTGTTGAATAGTGAATAGATTTATATTACTACGTGTGACATTTAACTTGTTATGTTGATGACTTTATTTATTGGTAAATGGTAATGATGTTAGAGTAGTGTTGTGAGTACAGGTTATATACAGGTTTTTATTAACAATATCAACTTGAAGTTGGGATGTTCGTAAAACAGGGGAAATGTTGTCCGTTGTCCTGTAGGAAAATGAGTATATGTGTCTACGTACTCAAACCTGCAGGAACTATCTGTGAGATCTTCTCTGTATATAAATTATTTGGACGAAAAAGAAAATTTATTCGTAAGCAACATATTAAGCGTTAGTTACAAATAGCCTGAAATATCATCACAAATTGAAGGAGTAATAGTAACTGACAATAAATATGGTAGTTACGAATAAACGTATAATCGTAACGGACAATTAGCATGGTAGTTACAAATAATAGCTTAATTGTAACTAACATTTAAAAAGTTAGTTACAATAAGCTGTCAAATTAGGCTACAAAATGGGGTATTTGTAACTAACATTTAGAGAGTCCGTTACAATTGCCTAACTCTTTGTAACTAACAGTGTTGGTTACAAAAGCCTAATAGTATTTGTAACTCCTTTATACGTAACGGAAAAAGTTGGTTACGAAAAGCCCGTTTTTATCAGTTACAAATGACGTTTTTTCTACTAGTGTAGGTATCACCAAAGAGGTTAATAGTCGTCTAATAACAACCCACTTGGTTTTGATGGAGGAAATAGACCTACCCTTGCTCCTATCCCTCAACCTCCTCTCCAACTTCAAGCTCCCCTTCCTAAGTCAAGTTTAGAAACAACAATGGAAAAATTTGTTAATGCTCAAACCAAGAAAACCAATGACTTAGAGGAGACTATCAAGCAAGTGCAAGTCCACAATAAGATGCTAGAAACTCAATTAACTCAACTGATTAATGCACTTAAAAGCAACAATTCTAGCACCTCTTCGCCTAGTCAAAAAGAACATTGTAATGCAATCATGACTAGATGTGGGACTAGCATAGATGAAACTCCACCCATGAGCTTGCAAAAAGAGAGTGAGAATGAGGAGGTTAGAGAAGAATAACAATGTGAGGTTCAAGTGAGGATGAGATGGTTGTCATGAGTGAGACCACCACGGTGAGCTTAACCAAAAATTGTAGTGCAATTATCAAAAACCACTCTCCCACTAAACTAAAAGATCCCGGACGTTTCTCTATTCCTTGCTCTATTAAGAACATTTCCTTTGAAAATGCCCTATGTGATTTAGGAGCTAAGGTAGAGGATGTCCTTTTCAAGGTAGGTAATTTCACCATTCCGGTTGATTTTATTGTGCTAGGAATGACGGAAGATGCCCTCACCCCTATTATCCTAGGTCGACCTTTCTTAGCAACGGGTGGTGCAATCATTAATGTAAGGGGAGGAAAACTCACATTAAATGTAGGTAATGATGAATTTTGTCTTACTATTGACCCCAAGAGGGGATGTCCTTCCCCCATAAAAGATTGCATGACCTTAGATGCTATTAGTGATAATGATTTGCATATGTTGAGATTGCTTTGTGCTACTAATCCTCTTTTCAATGTCCATGAGTCAAAGCAAGGTTTGAATAGGTTTGATGAGGTGATTTCCATGCTTGCTTGCCTCAAGACAATGCTTGAATAAGGTGAGTCCGATGCTCACAAGGATGAAGAGGATGACATCAAGGCTTCCAAGAAGAAGAGGAAGGGAAAATCAAAGAGAAAAAGGAAGAAGAAGGATTCAAAGAAAATTGATGAGAATAAGCTTGTAGTAGGTGTTAGTCATGAAGACAATTTGGTTTTGCCCAAGATGGCAAGTTGTGACAATGAAAACAATGGTGACAATTTGAATTCAAACTTTATCCCACCTGGCCTTGAGGATATTTTTCGAATTTGCGTCAAGCTAGTGACACTAAAAAAGCGCTCCCGGGAGGCAACCCGAGTATTTTTGCTTTTCCTCTAAAAAAAATGATGAGAGATGAAAGAGCTTAAACTAACACTTAACATTTTTAATGTTTGTTTAGTGTTTTGGTTTTGTTGTAGGAATAGCAAAAGAAGGAAGATCGGCAATAAATATAGGAGCGGGCGCTCCTACAGAGATGCATGCCCGCTCCTACCTAAATCAAAGCAGACATAATCTCCAGACCAGCTTAGGAGCGGGCGCTCCTGAAGGAGTGCACGCTCGCTCCTAATCAAAACAGCAGATGCAGAAGTAGGCAGAACCTACAACAAGTGATGGGAGCGGGCGCTCCAAGAGTACTGCATGCCCGCTCCTATGTTCAACTCTCGAAAAAAAAAATTGAAAATTTTGAAAAAGAAGCAGTATTGAAGTCAATCAGTAGGAGTGGGTGCTCCTAACACCCTGCACGCTCGCTCCTAGCTTCGAAAAACAAGCAGTAGACCCTCCCAATGGGAGGTTCTCAGCCGTGTGAAAAAAGGGGATTTCCCCCTTATATCTTTTTACCCTCTTTCATCTCCCACCTCTCATTTTACCCACATTCATCTTCTCTCTCCTCTTTACCCACCTCTTTCTCACTCTAAAAACCCCATTTTTTCTACCTTCTCTCATCAAATTCATCATCAATCCTTCACTTTTTTCACTCAAAATTCACAAATCCTTACTCTCCTTCCAATTCTCTTTCTAAAAATCACCAAATTGAGCAAAATTTCAAATACCCACAAATTCTCCATTGAAGAACAAGAGCAAAAGGGTGAAAGCTTAAAGAAGGAGGAGCAAATTTGGGTAGTCTTGGAGGATTTTAGAGTATTTTCATACTCTATTTGGTATAATCCACTTCTCTACTCAACTATCTTTTTCAAATTTTCTTAATTCTTTTTATTTTATACAAATTGTGTAGTTGATTGCATGATTGGTTAGAATTGAACAATTGTTGTTGGTTATGGAGAATTGTTAGAGAAAATTGTGAATGATTTTTGGAGTAGTTGAAATTGCGATTGAAAATTGCATAAAAATTAGTTGATTTGTGAATGTGACTTGTGTGAAATTGGTGAAGTGCATTGTGCTTGAAAAATTATGTGTTGGGATATATTGTTGGTTGTGTTGTGAAACAGGTACACTTGGATTTTTAAGGGGGTTTGAAGTTAAGGGTGTGTGTGGAGTTGTTTGTTGTTGGAGTTGTTTGTTGTTGAGTGATCTTCCTAGATAACCTTTTCTGAACTAAAAATGAATTTCATTGGAGGGGTTAAGAGAAAACAAGTGGACCTCAAACATCCTCATCCCCTTCACAACAAGAAAACCCTAACCCTCCAACAACTTTAAAAGTCGATAAAAGATATAGAAAGGCATATGATGACCTTTCTTCCCGAAATTTATTCTAACCCGATTCTATCATCAACAATCAATGCGACTTCTAGAGGTCGATGAAGGAATTAGAAGAGTAGCCGAAAACTTTGGTTGGCTAAACTTCTTGAACCTTAGGGAAGAAACCTATTCTTCCCTAACTCTTGAATTCCTTTCATCGGTCTCTATGAAGCACATTAGCCTTGAGGGTGAGCCATTGGAATGTGAGATAAAATTTAGAATGTTCAATGTCGAAAGAACCTTAACTTTGACGAGATTGAATGAAATTTTTGAATGGCCCACCCTTAACCAAATCTATGACCCCAATGGTACTTACTTCTCAAGCTATGAGGAGCAAGTTTGGTGGAATACCATTACGGGGTATCCCAATTTCACAACCTGGTCTAGCCATGCTAGCCACATTATCCACCCCGTCCTTCGAATTTTCATGCGAATCATGATCTATGCTTGTTTCTCTAAACAAGACTTAGGGAAGCTAACTAAAGAGGAGATCAAATTCCTCTTTCTAGCTTCAAGGTTCGAAGGAAATGTGGAAGGGTACGTGAACATGGGATAATTGTTCATTAAAAGATGTGAGGAAATAAGGGAAAGTGGAGAGATGAATGGTGAGATTAGATGTAGGGGAATGATTTCAACTATTGCGAGGAAGCTACAGTTTGGGGCTTAGCTAGACCAAATGACCCCGGTCCATGGGTCTAACTTGCTTGATCTTAAGGCACTTTATGATATGAAGTTCCTTAGTGAAATTCCAGGCCGAAATCTTCGCTATAGTTGGAAATTCATGGGAAAGCATTATTGCACTCTCCCAAATCCGGCGATTAATAACTCGGTGGGGGACACACGGCAAGTGTCACGTGATCAACTCCCACGAGGTATGGTCGGCGATGACGAGGATGTACCTATACCTCGTCGTGTAAGTACATCCTCTATTCTCCGATCTAGGGTAGATGGTTCCTCCTCCTCCTCTTCCCACTTTGATGTCGAAAATGCATTCTACCAATTAAATTTAACCAACCAAAGAATTCTTAAACAAAATGAGTACCAAAGTTTTGTAGCGAAGAGAAGCTACCAACATCAAGTTAAGAGGGTAGACTTTCTCCCTTACCTCAACTATCCCAACCGTCCCATTCAAGAAGGACCGTTCGCAGGTTGGTCCAATGGCCAACCCACCTACCCTTATTGGCAAGGCCCGCGTAGTTCGATTGGGGGGCTTCACTCCTATCCCCCTTATGACTACGCATAACCCGGGGGAAGCGATTATAGGGGCGACCCTAGCTATCACTACGTCCCCGAGGTTGGTGGTGCTAGTTCATCTTCGGAGGTGCTCACTACAAAAAAAGAGCCTTTTTCCGATGGCTTAAATCCATCATAAATTGCTCAAAATCCGTCGAAAATATGATTTTCGATGGTTTTCCATCGAAAAATGGTTATCGAAAAGTCCATCGTCGGAAATTTACTCTTTTCCGATGGAAAAGCCATCGGAAAACTTATTTCCGATGGTTTTAAATGGCCATCGGTAATTTCCGATGGGTCACTAAACCGTCGGAGATTTCTGATGGCCTAGCCATCGGAAATTAAAGCAGAATTTTTTTTTTTAAAAAAATACCCCTCCCCCTCCACCACCCACCCTCACCCTAAACCACCCTTGCCCACAATCCAAACGACTAGACCCAAACCACTTATATTACCCACCTACCTAAACCACTTAAACCCACACCATTACCCACACTAAACCACCCCAGCCACACACCACCTCATTTA